TGATATTTAATATGTATCAGGTTTCACTTGCAGGAATACACAAAAATTCAGAGTAAATTTTAAGTGTTTGTTATGTTAGAAAAGATCAAAGTTCAAGGTCAACAGTGCTTTAGTTTTACCACATATAACGCCATTATAAAGACTAATTTCCTGTATACGGATATAGCAAATAATTCAGAATATGATTTGGGGAAACTGTGATTTTTTTTTTTCAAATCTTACCTTAATTTAGAACCATGATGTATAATTAAGCAAGTAGATTTTTTTTTCAAGCATACAAAATTTCAAGGTCATTTTAATTTTGGAAGTGAATATAAAATATCAGGAAGCAGTCTAGCATTGTAATTTTGTTGTTGTTGAATGTACTTAGTTATTGAGTAATATTCAAATTTTAATCTGCAATCAAATTAAAATTTATAAATGTTCTAATTTGTTGATTTTTAAAACTTGGTGTTCATTCATTTTGAGTTTGTTGCCATGACAATATGTCTGTCAAGAAAATTAATGGCTCTGATATTCCTTTTTGTTCAGTTTGACCCTTGACCTTTGACATTGTGACCTCAAAATCTAAAGGGGTCCTCTACTTTTCAAGAAACCAGTGTACTAAATTTGATGTCTGTCAAGCAATATGTCCTCAAGATTTTGAATGATTAAAATCTACATACTGGTATATCGAGAATTATAACCCTTGACCTTTGACCTTGTGAACTCCAAATTAAAAGGGGCCATCTACTTATTAGTAGGTACCAGTGTACTATGTTTATTATCTATCAAGCAAATGGTTTTTTTTTTAAGATAAGAGAGAACACACTTGGTCTACCGATTGACAAACAGGTACTTAGCAGTATGTGAATATCACCCTGCTCAAAGAAAATGTAAAATAATACAATTCTGGTACCCCCCCCTCCCAAATTAACCCCATTTATTCCCCTAAGAAATAATTATTGCTTGAAAACAAAAATGTACAATTTACTGGTATTTTTCAACAGCAAAATTTAAATTTTTGAAAATATTTAAATCAGCAAAATAACTCCTTGCTGAAGTTCAGGGATGAGAAAATTTGAAAATTCTCCAAAAAATGTCCAACTTTAAGTAAAAAGTACAGCAAAATATTTGAGAGTCCAAAGACAGATTTTTTATATAATGTAGACAGACATGTTGTCTAATAATTGTATGAGATTGAGTTGATTCTAAGCGTCACTTTCTGAGTTATAGGTTTTTGAAAAGTGAATATTTTCACCAGTTTTCAAAAATCTGGAAATATGCCAGATTTGTGACCTTTTTGCACTTAAACGAGGGCACAGTTTGTGATTATGAAAAATTTTCTGAAACAAGTGTATCTTGTTACTTTCAACCATATATGGATATTTTATATCATTATCAAGTAAAATGCTGAATTTTTAATTATAAAATCCTATAAAATTCTTGTTTTCACCCTGCGTAAGGACCAAGAATTCTATTTTTAGTAACAGTGTCGATTTAACCCCTTAAGTGAGACCACACTGAAAAAAATTTTGTGGCAAAATATTTCATATTATAGAAGAAATTTACACATTAAACATGAAGTTGATCCGAGAACCTTGCTCCCATAACCTCTTGCATGGTTTTCTCGTAGACATGCTCTTAATGAGAAATTTTTCAATACTGACAAAACTATAAGTCATAGTACTGTAGTTTGTTTAAAAATACATGTAGTACAAGCAAACCAAGCCTCTCTTTATTTGTTTCATAGTCCCTGTGACAGACCCCGAGTGATAGATTCCCTGAGAGGGAAGGAGGTGGTGGATATAGCAGCAGGAGGGGCACACAGTGCCTGTATCACAGCTAACGGGGAACTGTACACCTGGGGCAAGGGACGATATGGTCGCCTGGGGCATGGGGACAGTGAAGATCAGCCTCGCCCCAAACTGGTAGGTTGACATGGAAACTTGACATGCTATTATTCTGAAAGGTACATTTAGTTGTGATTGGGTAGATGTTCCAAAGAAAGCAACATTTCTTCATGATATTCAAAGAAAGGCATTTTTAAAATTTTGTTAAATCTTATGTATCCCAGTTTTGCAAATCTTTTATCTTTAACATTTAGATACATGTACAGCGTATAAGTCTGAGTTTTGTATTTATTGACTCAATATTATATTTGAAATTATGTCATATTCTATTTTTAACTTAGGTGGAGGCCCTGAAATCCTACCGTGTAATTGACGTGGCGTGTGGTAGTGGGGACGCCCAGACTCTGTGTATCACTGACAATGACAATGTCTGGTCCTGGGGAGATGGGGATTATGGGAAATTGGGTAAGTCCTTAATTCTCCTACTGTATATTTCTCATCACTCTTGATACTTACAGTGTACATGTATGTGCATGTATGTGCATGTGTATCTGATTCAGATATATTTGTATGTGAACATTTTGAAAGTCTGTATTTGTTCAAATTGCCTTTTCTTTTCTGAATCCGACTGCAATTCAGTAGTCTATTTGGTGAAAACTTCAGTGTCTTAAAAACAGCTGATTTGTGCGTTTTAAATAGGTCGTGGAGGAAGTGATGGCTGTAAAGTGCCAATGAAAATCGAGACACTGATGGGTCAGGGGGTCATGAAGGTGGAGTGTGGTTCTCAGTTCTCTGTGGCACTCACTAAAAGTGGAGCTGTCTTCACATGGTAAGGAAAATTATTTATTACAGTGAATAATAAAAACTGCATTGGTTTAAAATATGAATGCATTTAGAGAGCCATATAAATACTGTACATCAACTAGAATTGTTCCTGTAATCTTTTATTAGCCTTTCGGTATTTTGAAATCAATTCTTGAAAATTAATTTTCGCAATGTAAGAAATACTCTCTCCAAGTACACAGTGGTTTGCAGCTATAATATTTGCAAGTCATGGAGAGGGTTGAATCATCCGAATATTTATCATCAGGTCCTACAACTAAAAACTGGTTAACAGTACATGTAAAGTAATAAGATTTATGTAATTTGAAGTTTCTCCTTTTCTTTCAATATTTGGCTCCACGTGTAAGTTTTCGTTAATGAAATTGAGTTTTAAATTACTTGTCCTCCTTTATAGGGGTAAGGGAGACTACCATCGTTTGGGTCATGGATCTGATGACCATGTGAGGCGGCCCCGCCGAGTGTCAGCTCTCCAGTCTAAGAAGGTCATTGACGTGGCCTGTGGTTCCCTCCACTGCGTGGCCTGCACTGATACTGGTAACTAGTATAAAGATATTGTAATTGATAATTTATTGTATTTATCCCATCTCAATTATCCCTTGTTTGCAGCAGACCCTTTTGAGAAACATGAAATATTACAAAATTAATATTTATTTACTGTTATATTGTGGATTTTGAAATTGTACTCATTAATGAAGTTTCTATTAAAGAATGGGTGGACTTAACGCCTTATTTTGGATCTTTTTGCGACTCCTCTACCAAGCTGTAAATGAAGTGAATCCAAAATATATTACGAGAAATGGAAAGAGCTACATATACATGTACTTGGTTATATTAATTGGAACATTTGTACAAAAACAATGCCCTGTTGCTATGAATCAAAATTGAAGCAATGATACATGAGTGTCGTCTTCCCGAATTTGACCTGTACCCGGAGTGGTTTTTAGCTCACCTGAGCCGAAGGCTCAAGTGAGCTTTTCTGATCAAAATTTGTCCGTCGTCTGTCGTTGTTGTTGTCGTCGTTGTTGTTTCATCTTCTTCTCGAGAACCACTGGGCCGATTTCAACCAAACTTGGCACAAAGTATCCTTGGGTGAAGGGGATTCTAGTTTGTTCAAATGAAGGGCCACGCCCTTTTCCAAGGGGAGATAATCATGAATTTGTTAAAAATTAATGGCATTTTTAAAAAATCTTCTTCTCCAGAACTGATGGGCCAGGAAAGATGAAACTCATGTGGAATCATCCTCAGGTAGTGTACATTCAAGTTTGTTCAAATCATGACCCCCTGGCAAGGGTGGGGCCAAAATGGCCGACCCTAGTTTTACATTGGAATATATAGGAAAAATTTTTAAAAATCTTCTTCTAAAGAACCACTAGGACAGGAAAGATGAAACTCATGTAGAATCATCCTCAGGTAGTGTACATTAAAGTTTGTTCAAATCATGACCCCTGGGGCTAGGGTGGGGCCAAAATGGCCGACCCAAATTTTACATAGGAATATTTAGGAAAAATCTTTAAAAATCTTCTTCTCCAGAACCACTGGGCCAAGAAAGATGAAACTCGTGTAGAATCATCCTCAGGTAGTGTAGATTCAAGTTTTTGCAAATCATGACCCCCGGGGCAAGGGTGGGGCCAAAATGGCCGACCCAAGTTTTACATAGGAATATATAGGAAATATCTTTAAAAATCCTTCTGAAGATCCACAGGGCCAGGAAAGATGAAACTCATGTAGAATCATCCTCAGCTAGTGTAGATTCAAATTTGTTCAAATCATGACCCCCGGAGGTAGGGTGGGGCCAAAATGGCCGATCAAAGTTTAACATAGGAATATATAGGAAAAATCTTCTTCTCAAGAACCATTGAGACAGGAAAGGTGAAACTCCTGTGGAATCATCCCCAGGTAGTGTAGATTCAAGTTTGTTCAAATCATGACCCCCGGGGGTAGGGTGAGGCCAAATGGCCGATAAAAGTTTTACATAGGAATATCTAGAGAAACCTTTTTAAAATCTTCTTTTCTAGTACTTTAAAGCCATGCTTAGTGATATTTATAGGGAATCATCCTGAGGTAGTGTGGATTCAAGCTGTGTTCAAATCATGACCCCCTGGGGGGTTAAAATTCCCCCCCCCCCTCAGTAAACTTTCAGTTCTGATCTGACGTGTGCTTTTTCCTAGCCAATTGCTCAGGTGAGCGATGTGGCCCCTGGGCCTCTTGTTTTATGTGTAAGGGACTGCTTGCTTTCTCTACAAGGAATAAATGATAGGATGGTGATAAATTTGTCGTATTTTGAATTAATAGGAAGCTGCCTTCAGAAAAGTTGTACAGGCAACTATGGTGAGAGACAAACAGCATGGACCAGTAGTGGAACTTAACAGGCTACAGGTATGGGAGTGTACACATATTATTAGTGAGGAATGGTCAAGATTATAAATAAAGGTAGTAAGGGAGGATGCTGTAGTAGAAAACTGACATTTAATTAAGGGGAATGTTCCATAAGAAGAGAAAGGAACACTTGATTCATGCACAGATTCTTCAATGCAATTATTTTTATCAATATGCACCAATATCTAATGACCATAAAGAGTGGTTACTGTTCGGTCAAATTTTCAATTTCACCCCTTTCCGTCATCATATACATGTATACCAGTAGTTTAAGATAATATACGTGTGCTGTGGGTGATAGTACCTTTTCTCCTTTGACTTTAGGAGAGAGTGTAGATGACTGTGGAGGGGGGTATAGTGAGTCTGTGGCTGAGATGTGTGATGAGTTACAGAACGGATCCCTCCCCCTCCTCATCGTCACCTCCAACGGACGGGGAGAGTCCGGGGCTAACAGGGACTGCTTTATCTTCAATCCCATGGCCAAATCTCCAGTGCATGTCAACATGTTTAAATTCTCAGGTATGAGTTATTTTCTTTATGTGATAGCATTGTTTTCAGGTCAATTATTTGTACATTGAGATGGTTCAAAAATAATTTGAGCTCTTTGAGAAAGAAGCTTATAAATTACCTTCATATGAAACCACATTCAATTTAAAGTAGTTATTGTTTAAAAATGTAATCAATAGATGAAATATTACAAAGAAAGTAAAAAAGAAGTAAGCTCTTTATCAGTGTTTTGCCTGTATTTTGTAGGTGTGTTATTTGGCATAGCCATTAGAAGTGGCAGTCCCCTGAGTCTGAACATTGCGGAGCCTGTGTGGAAACAGGTGGCTGGGATGCCCCTCAGTATATCAGACCTGGCAGAGATTGACAAAGACTGTGTTCCAGGTATTGTAACAGTAAAAAAAAATGTGCAACTGTATGTACCATGAGTTTTTTAAATTTATCAATACATATGTATATCAAAGTATGAATTTTAGATAAAATCTGTAAAAAAAAAATTGTGACATATCTTTTAGAAAAAGGTTTTAGAGATTTAAAAGGGGTATAAATTGTTTTGTGATGAGATCTTTTTGGGTATCAGTATAGATTTTGAGTGAAAAAAAGTTGGTATGCTTGTCAATGAATGGTATTGTTGATTTGGCTTTTTAGGTCTGATATGCATAAAAGATCTGACAGATGAGAAACTCCAGGCCGTAGAGATGCCCTTCAATATCCCCAGCTCTTCTGGTCAGGAGGTACAATTGTCAGCCAAATACAGCAAGATAACTCCTGCAAATAAAGTGGAGTACATCAAACAGGCCATTAATTACAGGTAAGGAAAGTGATCCAGAAATTTTTATTAACTGTATTCAATTTAAATCTGCATTAATATTGTGCTTTGTTTTACTTAGAAAAAAAGAGAGAATTTCTTGGAAGTATGATATCCCTTTGTAAGGGATTTGAAGGGGATGTAATTGTAGAAATGGGACTTGCTGTATGTAGTGGCAGTTTGGTAAACAGCTCTTAGATAAGAATTATGTATATAATTTATGTTTATAGAAGTTATTTTTGTTTTCACATTTCATTTTTTGTTGTATCAAATTTATTTTGTCTTAGCATTATTTTTTCCCCCTTAGAGCCTCTTTACCCTCTTTTGTTTCATAACCCAGCCTCACTTTAGCATCTTTTCGTGACGTCATTGCTTACCGTATATACTCGCCTATAAGTCGGATTTTTGGGAGTTAATTTGTGGTCCAAAACTCTATGTCCGACTTATAGGCGAGCAAAAATGAATGGTATTATATGTTTACATTTTTGATTTATGCACCGACTTATAGGCGAGTATATACGGTATATCAAATTCATTGCTGGTGCGTGTTTCCAAAAATCATTGTTTACATTTTTGATTTCAAGTCATCTGATGCCGTTTTTTCCGTTGCCTCATCATGTAGAAACTTTTACTACTGGATGTGATGATTCTTGTGTATTCATTGTGTGGATCTGTTTTGTTTGTGACAAGAATCTGTGATTTTGTAACGGGATACTTCCATTCCTTCGCCATGGCGTCAAGGCGCAGGTCTAAGAACACGATGGACGTGACTAATCCAGCAAACTGGACTAACGCACAATTAAAAACAGCGTTGAAAGACTTGGGAATTAACATTTCTATTCCTCTGAATAACAGCCAGTTAAGAAAATTATACGAAGACAACAAAGAGAGACAATCCTTCTCAGCGGAAAATAGTTCCCGCGCTCTGTTCGAAGAAAATAGTGCCAAGGCAAGTATGCAGAAAAACAATGAAACATCCGCCAGTGTCGCTAGTACAAACTCTGTTTTAAATACAGAATCTGTTTCTCAAAGTTCCACTAGTCAAAACAGGGATTCTATGACGGCGATGCAACCGACTACTCAATCCCTACCTCGCAATGATACATTGCAGTTAACTTCCGCCCAGGGCACCTCGACGTTGGAAACCCTACCTCGCACACAGACAACTTCCGCCCAGAGTACTTCGGAAGGCATCGGCAATAATCACAAATTAGAAAGCGAACTGGTAAATACGCTTCAACTTTGCCAGCAAACTTTACTGCAAGTGACGCAAAAAAGCGAGCCATCATCAAACTTTAGCTTGCAGTCGGCTATGGCAGTATGTCAAACTCAGGTCAATGCATTCCCCTCCATGTTGTACCCAGTACGTACCAGCAGTGACGCAAGCCAAATGTCAAGGCCATCATTCGGGGTACCTGCATCATCGATCTCAGACATCGATATCATTTCGCCAGAAGTTCGGCAACAGATAGTAGCAGATACAGAAATTCCGTCAACTGGCGCCGAATGCAGAAGAACAGTCAACACCTTGTCCACCGCTATCCCAGATTCTTTGGACTGCGCAGTAGAAAACCTCTGGATGCATGCTTTATCCCGTGCCACTCTAACGGCCTACGAAGCTGGTATGGACACGTACAAAAAGTTCCTTTTACTGCAGGGCACAACATGGGATGATGGAAGTCTGCCACCCATGTCGGAAAGGCTTCTTATGCGTTTTGCAGCGTTTTGTGACGAACATAGAAAAATTAAACATTCAACAATCAAACTTTATTTGTGTGGGATAAGATTCTTTTACCTAAGGCAAGGTGGTTTCAACCCCTTGCTCAAAGATGGAAAACCTCTGGAATGTTTAAAAGCAATTTTAGTGGGCATTAAAAAGAATAGCTGCAATAATGTAGCCCTCTCCGATTTTTTTTTTTTTTTTTTTTTTTTTGGGAGAGGGCTACAACTCCTTAGGATCTCTATAATGGCGCAGATGCGGCAGTGGATCACTCCCGCACGGAAAATTATCAGTAAACGGCTATTTTATTATTATCTCTTACCTGGAATCCAAATATGTAATTATGCAAAACATAAATCGATCCAAAAATATTCACAACGACCCATATATCGGTTATTTTTCGTGTGTGTCAACAGCTTAACTTGAATTTATCCGCCATGTTTACTGACCTTGATGGATTGTATTTTGGGACAGCCAATGAGAATTTAGGTTCTATAGGAGCGGATCTACTAGGAATTCCCTTATTTTAAGCGTACGTATCGCTGTTTGCGCAAAAATAACACTTGAAATGGTTTTATTTATCGATGTTTTTGTAATATAGTATAGCACAATCGTTTATAAACATCGACATTTGCTTTATTTGGTTGTTCCAAATTTGAAGCGAAAGTCTCACTACGTCACGCGTGAACTGTCATGGCTGCTGAATATTGCAGCTGGGAAAGACACAGATTTATTTTACATGGTTTTCGAGTTTAACAGGCTATGTTGTTGACAGTGAATAAAATTCCGTCTTATAAGAAGTAAGTTTAATGTAAAAATAATTTATTTTGCCTCCAATCACCCGTATCAAAAAAATATATTTGCACCATTACGGAGATGCGATGGAATTGTAGCCCTCTCCATTACATTATTGCAGCTATAAAAAGAAACAAGGGTCTATTAGTAAACGTGTTCGTTTACCTATAACCATGCCCATATTATCACAGATGTGCAATTTATTAAAAATGTCTGTTTTTGGTTATTTTAATAGTATCATGTTAGAAGCTGCTTGTGTTGCAGCATTTTTTGGTTTTCTTAGGTGTGGTGAATTTACAGTGTTAAATCAGTTTGACTCAGAGAGCCATCTATGCTTAAATGATGTTCAGATCAGCACTGAATCTGTTTTTATTACACTTAAGAAGTCTAAAACTGACCCCTTCAGGCAAGGTATTACAATTCCTTTTTATAAAACAGGTTTTTCTGTATGTCCAGTGGTTTCTATTTGTAAATATTACAATTTAAGGCAGTCTTTACTTTCAGCGAACACTGAAGCTTTTTTTGTAACGGAAGACAGAAAACCTTTATCTAGACAATTTTTAGGTCACCTGAGTAAACTCAGGTGACCTATTGCTATCCGTTGTTGTCCGTCGTCGTGCGTCGTGCGCTGTGCACCGTGTGTTAACATTTGAACATTTTCAGCTTCTTCTCTGAAACCACTCAACCAATTACAACCAATTTTGGCACAAAGCATCTATAGGTGAAGGGGAACAGAAATTGTGAAGGGGTGGGGCCAAAACCACTAAAATTAGTGCAATCTTTAAAAATCTTCTTCTTTACTCCTGGACATCAAGCAGTCAAACTATTTGCATGATTGAAATCAGCAATGAGTCCTCTACCAAAATTGTGAAATTCATGGCCCCAGGGTCAGGGGTGCAAGTGATAGGGCGGGGCTAAATAGACTGTATAGTGAAAATGCATTATTTCTTTGAAAATCTTTTTCTCTGCTCCTGGGCATTAAATAAGCTAACCAAGTACAAAGTTATGTTAAATAAGATTGCCTCTTTCAAAATTGTGAATTTCATGACCCCAGGGTCAGGGGTTCTGGTGTTGGGGTGGGGCTCTATTGGTTATATAGTGAAAATGCATAAATTCTTTTAAAATCTTCTCCTCTGCACTTGGATATTTTACCAACAAACTATGTACATATTTATAATAAGGAAGGACACTTCTTCCCAATTTGTGAATTTCATGGCCCCTGGGTCAGGGGTTTTGGTGTTAGGGCAGGGCTCTATTGGTTATACAGTGAAAATGAATTAATTCTTTGAAAATCTTCTTCTCTGCAGCTGGGTATTAAACAAACAAACTAAGTACATAGTTACGATGACCGAGAATGCCTCTTTAAAAATTGTAAATTTAAACCCATGGGTGAGGGGTTCTGGTATAAGGGCAGGGCTCTTTAATTGTTTTTAGAGTGAAAATACATTAATTCTTTAAAAAATCAACTTCTCTTCTCCTGGGTATGAAATAAATTAACCAAGTACATGATTATATTGGATAAGTCTGCGTCTTCCAAAATTGTGAATTTCTTGGCCCCAGGGTCAGGGGTTCTGGTGTTAGGGCGGGGCTCTGTTGATTTTAAAGTGAAAATGCATAAATTCTTTAAAAATCTTCTCCTATGCTCCTGGGTATAAAACCAATGAACTATGTACATAGTTAGGATGAGGAAGGATGCTTCTTCCCAATTTGTGAATTTCATGACCCCTGGGTCAGGGGTTCTGGTGTTAGGGTGGGGCTCTATGATAATTAAACTTAGCTGTCTGTAAACAATTTTTCAAAATGTTACTCCTCCTACAGTTTTGGTCTGATTTCAATATAACTTGGCGCACAAGTAGACTACACTAAGATACATAATTCTGTGTATCGGTTTTTGATTTCAATGAACAGTGTTGCCGTGGTTACTAAAAATAGAAATTTCTGTGAAATTCCTTAAAAACGCTACTCATCTTACAGTTTTGGTCTGATTTCAATATAAATTGGCACACAAGTAGACTACACTAAGATACATAATTCTGTGTATCGGTTTTTGATTTCAATGAACAGTGTTGCCGTGGTTACTAAAAATAGAATTCTCTGTGAAATTCCTTAAAAACGCTACTCCTCCTACAGTTTTGGTCTGATTTCAATATTACTTGGCACACAAGTAGACTATACTAAGATACACAATTCTGTATATTGGTTTTTGATTTCGATGAATGGTGTTGCCGTGATTACTAAAAATAGAAATTTCCGTGAAATTCTTTCAAAATGCTACTCCTTCTACAGTTTTGGTCTGATTTCAATATAACGTGGCACACAAGTAGACTACACTAAGATACATAATTCTGTGTATCAGTTTTTGATTTCGATGAATGGTGTTGCCATGGTTACTAGAAATAGAAATTTCTGTGAAATTCTTTCAAAATGCTACTCCTCCTACAGTTTTGGTCTGATTTCAATATAACTTAGCACACAAGTAGACTACACTAAGA